GCTGCAAGCAGACTGTTAGCAAGCATCAACAGATGTAGATGATAATAAAATACAGTTTGGAGGCACTGCAGAAATGATGCTTGTTCTTAACCATATTTTTCCTGCCTTTTCTTGAAGTGCTTTCTGTCCTAGTGTTTTCTTTGACCCTGCTATGGCAGCATCTCAGCGGAACCCTTGCAGGTTTTTAGAAGGAACCAGAAGTTGTTTTTCACAGTTATGAGTTCTGCATGAATCTCCTGTTGCTTTTTCTTGACTTGCTTTTTGATAGCTTTGGAATGAAAGTGTTTTATAGCTATTAATTAAAATAAGTTTGCGTAACTGTATATGTTTTGCCAGGCTGGAGCCATGGTGTTGATAGTTGTACACCTAACAATGCAAATGCTGCTGAGCATAGTGCTTATCAGTTGTCAGACCATTGATTAATCTGCCTGGGAACTGCAAGTATGGCTTCATAAACAAATCAGCTAAAGTCGCCCCGCAGGTCTAACCCAGAAATCTGTTTGACTCATACATCTGTATGTACAGAACTGTTCTTAACGGGCCAGGTGAAGAAAAAAGCAAAGTTTTGCCTGTGGTTTGTTTGCATGGCACTAAAGGCATTGCGCTCTGCTGGCTTTGTCCCAGCTGGGCTGAAAGCAGCTTCATTAGGTTTACAACTTCAAGTGAGGAAAGGGATTTGAATAGCCCTCTGCACTGATTTCTCTGGCTGCTTGGTAGGAATCCTCTTGGAGAGGTCATGCAAAAATTAATCATTTTCAATATTTACTAATTAATACTCAACATTTTCTGCATCATAACTCGTAAGTTCCTATGTAGCAGGTCCTCTGCGCTTGCCAAATGCATAGGTATCATCTCACTTTTTAGACAAGTAGGGTACAATGCCTAGTCTTATTCCCTCTCATTACCTCAGTGAGTGTAATTTTGCAGGCAGTTGGAAGATATCTCATGTGCCATTTAGCCTTTGATTTAGGAAACCTGAATTAATCCTGTGGCTCTTTGCTGGTGCAGAAAATCTGTAAAAGTCCTGGCTGAACTCCATGGTACTGTGGGACTTCACAAGTCAGACTGCTGAGCTTTATTGCACACAATAATTTAAGGCATGAAAGGCTTCTAGTTCTGTTTTGAAATTGTTTATGTGAATCATAACGTGCACTATGCTTGCAGGAGTTTGCCACTCTGACTTGACTGTTATCACAGATTAACCTTATTGCTTTGTAACACAACAGTGTAAATAGCAATGTGGCACAGGTTGCCCACTGAAGAGCGGTTTCGTTATGATTTAGTTGGAAAAGCAGTGTAGGGATTCCATCGCCCTGCCTGTGTCTGGTTTGCCTTGGTTCTGAGAGTTGGATCATTACAGATGGATTGTTCTGGAGTCCAGCAGCATAAGTAACGATTGGACAGCACAGCATTACTGGTTAGCCTGAAAAGCACCTTCTTGTCTTTTGTCAAACAATACAGTGTTGTTGCAATAGAGGAAAAAGAATACCTCTGGTGGCCCAGGGACTTGTGGTGCCTTGTGTGCAAGCTAAAACCTCCTGTCTGTCTGCTCAGTGAGTGTGATGGGACTTCCCAGCACTGGGGAATGGTGTTTCAGCGCTTGGGTTTTCTCTGCCTGAGAAACTTCATGCTAATCAGGATTGGAATTGCCCTCTGATGTTCTGGTTTAACTTCAAAGTGAAGGCTGTTAGGTTGATTAGCTGGTTGATTACCAGAGTACTTAATGTGTTATGCTACTGATGTCAAAAAGCTGGATGGATTTAAACGGTTTTGGTGTAGATGAGGAAAAAAATATTTTGCATATAGTTACATTTGCTTGAAACTTCTGTGGGACAAAATGTGCAATGAGTAACAGGACATTCATATTACAGCACTTAAGGGCTGTGCAAGAATTATTTTCAGCTGTGAAGAGGTAGTTAGGCTTTGACTGCTGATCTGAGAGAGGGCTGAGCGGGCTTTGATTAGGAAACCTGTGTGCCATGCCTGTAAATGCATGGAGAGGGCAAAATTTCCTCCCAGGTGAAGTTAAATGAGCGGAGTAGAAGGAGGAATCCTATTACACATTTCACAAAAAACATGAGCAAAACTCAAGATCCGACTCTTAATCACCCTATTTAAATTTCCTCCTCTTTACAGATAGGGAAATTTGGACACAAGCCGATGATGAGACTCGCGCTTCTTTGCTCACCCTTTGGTCATACACAGACAGAAATCTCCATGTGGGAGTGCAGTGTATCACTGAACAGGGGGATTTTTGTGAGGCTGGGATGTTGGCTGGTTGCACTGACTCATGCACTAGAATGACTCTGGTGTAGGATTTCTGTTTCCATAGACTCAATGTACATACCTGCTCTGACTGTAGAAACAGACAAGTGAAAAACACCACTTGCACTGCACTTAAATCTACAGCTGTTGAGATTCTGAGTAAGGTGATGTTATCTTTCTTATAAGAACAGTATTTCAAACGGTGTGTTTCCTTCTGGAAGCCGCTGAAGGGAAGAGCAGCTCACTCTGCAATTAACATGACAACTGAATTTGGATGAAGCTGTGACATTTTCCTCCTCACGACTTCCTGAATTCCTTTGTGATGTTGCTGAAGGCACGTGTGTTCCTTTTCCCTTTATCTCGCTAAATATTCCCCTGTGGTATGGAATTATGTGAGTTTTTCCACTCCCATACTGGCCAGTGGATTCTAATCTTGCATACCCACCTTCACACTCCTTTGGCCCAGCTTAATTCCTGTGCCATTTTTCATGAAACGTGGACTCATCGTTCTCTGCCACAGCAGTTAAATACAAATTGTTGGTTTGACAGCAACAGCAGCATTTCTTCCTCCAGGGAAAAGAGAATTACAGACAACAGACTGAAAAAGCTTTTGACAGACCATCTTTCAAAGCAGTGATTCTTCTGTTTCCATTCTGTGGGGCTAAACTACTCATTGCTGGACTGTATTTCAATCAACTGCCCAAAAGTCATTTGGTGTTTAGCTTGTATTTCTGCTGTATTTAGGAGTGCTGTTATGAAGTCTGCTCTGTTAGGTAATGTGTAAGGATAACACATGAGGACAGAGAAAAGGAGTAGAGGAGTGAACTTTACCCCTTGGATGCAGCTCCAGGCAGCTGTGCTGTGGGATGGCTTCTGCATGAAGTAAGCAGTCTGGCTGCTTCAGTCCTGTCCCGGGTGCTGCTTTGAGATTCTGTACCATAATGCAGTTCTGGAACACTGCTTTTAGATGCTGCTTGCACCTCTGCGTGCTTCAATGAAGTGGAAAGTATTGCACAACAAAAGAAGTCACATTTTGATTTGAACTCTAACCTGTATATGGTAATTTTGCCTGTTGCACTGCTGGCTTTCTTCATTGTTCTGGTAGATGTACCTTCATTTTCTTTCCATTTGAATAAACGGAGGGAAAATAGCTCATATACTGTTAACACAGGTAGTACTGAAATAGTTGAGGCTATCACACAGGTGGCCTAAAGCATGTCTGTAATAATGTATGTGTTCACAGGTTTCTAGCTGAGGCTCCTTGTGATCAGCATTTTTGTTGGAGTCTTCAGGTGTTGCGTAGTAAGCGCCCAAACAAAACAGTCTATGTGTCATCCTCCCCTTATCTGTGAACACTGTTTAAATGGCTTGTGATGCTCCAATTCTGCTAAAGGCAAGAAGTTCCGTGCCCTGAGCTCGTGGTTGGGTTAACCCTCACTCTGCATCCTCACCGCCCCTGGATGCAGTAGCAGTGATGCACGCCACCAGTCCTTGCAGCCCAGCTCTGGGCTCATCCTTAAGTTGCCATCCTGAATATGCTGCAGATGAAGTGATAGTCTTGCAGTGAACGCAGGAGGGGAATGTTGTGTGAAAAACAGGCCTCGCTATGCCATGCACTCCTCCTCAGGGAAATGTGATTTTTATCTGATGTTCTTACAGCGTTGTCACTTGTCCTCCCTCCCACCTGTACCGGAAGAGGGATGGGAGAGCATGAAACCTGTTTGAGCACTGCTAGCTGGTAAATAACATTCTGAGCTGCAGAACTATTAGCCTTATCTTCTGTGCAGCTTCTTACTCAATTTCAAGTCCTACTGACAGTTCTGAAGTGCTATCAGTGATGCCGTGCATTTGCATTTCGTTTGCAGCACATCCTCTGCTTGGTGTGGCTGCCCAGACCTACCTTTTATCTGTGGGTATGTACCTAAACTGAGTTGAAACCTATACTGTAAATCTGTATGCAGAAAATATTAAATAACATCTGTCAGCGCAAAGAAAATACGGAGCTGAGATATTGCCACATTCCATTACAGTGCTTTTTGTGGAAATTCTTTGAATGCTTTAAAAGAAAATAGGGCCATGCGGATAGAGGCTTTTCTCAGTAGGTGCAACAAGGAGAGACAATGTTTACAGAAATCAAGTAGGCAGATGAACGAGATTGCAGGGAGGTGTGTATGCGTCAGTTTTTGAAGTGACAGGATGCTGTGCTCTTTCTTATGCATTACAAGATAAGTTATAAAAAGATACATCGTGGAGAAACTGGGATAAAAGTGGTTGTGTGGAGAACCAAGTCTGTAGCACCGCTCCAGTGCTTGTGGCCACAGCTCAAATCTTTTCATGACTGGAAGGGGAGATCTTGGAGTATTTTAAATTAACACATCTTTTTGTCACCTTGCAGGGCGTTCTGTGTGGCACTCGACCAGCTGCTATGAGCTTGCTACACAGTGACAGCAGCTGTGGGGCCCGAGACATGGATGGCGGCTGCTGTGCGGCCATGGCCAGCGCCTGCAGCGGGGGAGCGAAAGAAGACAGCGTGAGCGTCGGCAGTGGGACCGGCAACCCGCCCAGCTCCTTCACGGAGGAGACGCAGGGATACGACGTGGAGTTCGATCCGCCCTTGGAAAGCAAATATGAGTGTCCGATCTGCCTGATGGCCCTTCGGGAAGCAGTGCAGACGCCGTGTGGGCACCGTTTCTGCAAAGGCTGCATTGTCAAATCAATAAGGTAAAGGCAAACCTATGGGAATCATTCTTAAGAAGTCACTTGGCGGAGTAAACGTTAGATAAAAAATAGTAATTTATTTGGAGGATTTGGCTACAGCTACCAAGTCCCCTCTTCAGCCTAGGGTTGTAAACCTTGTCTTCTCACAGAATCACAGAATGGCCAGGGTTGGAAGGGACCTCAAGGATCGTGAATCTTCAACCCTCCTGCCATGTGCAGGGCCACCAACCTCCCCATTTAATACTAGACCAGGCTGCCCAGGGCCCCATCCAGTCTGGCCTTGAACACCTCCAGGGATGGGGCATCCTCAACCTCTCTGGACAGCCTGTGCCAGCACCTCACCACTCTCATAGTAAAGAACTTTCCCCCCGCATCCAACCTAAATCCTCCCTCCCTCAACTTGAAACCATTTTGCCTTATCCCGCTGTTATCTACCCTTTCAAAGAGTTGATTCTCCTCCTGTTTCACAGAGTCACAGAATTGTAGGGGTTGGAAGGGACCTCCAGAGATCATCGAGTCCAACCCCCCTGCCAAAGCAGGTTCCCTACAGCAGGTCGCACAGGTAGGCATCCAGGCAGGTCTTGAACATCTCCAGAGAAGGAGACTCCACAGCCTCCCTGGGCAGCCTGTTCCAGTGCTCCGTCACCTCACTGTAAAGAAGTTCTCACACACATTTGTGCAGAACTTCCTATGCTGCAGTTTCCAGCCGTTTCCCCTTGTCCTGTCTCCACTCACCACTGAAAACAGTCTGGCCTCGCCATTCTGCCCCCCACACCTTAGATATTTATAGACCTGGATCAGGTCCTCTCTCAGTCTTCTTTTCTCAAGGCTGAACAGACCCAGTTCACTCAGCCTTTCTTCATAGGAGAGATGCTCCAGGCCCAGGTTTGTAGGCTCCCTTTTAGGTACTCTCCGTGTGAGTGTTTAGGTAAGTACAAGCAGCTACTGGCAGCATGGTTACTTGGCACAGATGTGGCAATTTGTGCTTTCAGTTCTCCCCTTGCAATCTGCTTCCTTGTTGGGCTGGAGAATGTAATGAGGAAATAGTCTGGAACAAAGAGTTGAGGGAAGAAACTGCTGTATGGAGGGGTGGGAGGAAAAAAAAATAGAGGCAAGAATACGCTGAACTTGTAACAGTGGATGCTTGAAAGGGGAAGAGAAGGCAGAGAGCATGCTGATTGGTAGACTGTACTTCCCTCTGATATGGAGTACAGTCATCACTGTCCTACCTATGCCTCTGAGTATTAAACCTCATTGATAAAAAGTTAGATATTACTATATTTTTGATTCTTGACCTAAGCCAGACTTCTCACTTATGGATCTCTCCCTTAGCTCAAATGTCAAGGTGCTTTAGTAGGAGTCTTAATTGTGCGACCCACATATGGAGTTGGTTAATTTCCCAAATCACTTTGTGTGTCTTTGTGCATAAAATCAGACAGTCTTCTATGTTACTTTAAAATGCATTTTATTTTCCTCATGCAGTTGTTTTTAGCATGCAAAATAGACAATACTTTCTCGTTTAGCTTTCCATACATTTATCCCTAGTTCTATTTTCTTTATCCATAGCTCATCATTTTTAGCTCACTGAATTAATAGCGTGCCAGCAGCAATGTTCTCTGAAGGCATTATTCTGTGGGCTCTCTGTCGTTTCAGCATTGGCTGATATTAATGTGTTTCCTCACAACATCCCTTCTAGATGGAGGAGGAAGGTGTTGGAGCTCAGTAAAAAATGGACCTAATTTTGCATTCCCTACTTATGATGGCAGAAGAGCAGGTTATTCTCTAGAGAGCACGAAACTGTTTGCAGCTCAGCTTTTTAACATTAATTTCATCAGCATTTCTGAGAAAAGGATGTGCAGGTTCATTATTCAAAAAAAAAAAAAATGCAGAGTATTGAAGTTGTTCACTCATGAAAAGTGACTCCCCCATGTGTACTGCAAAGGAGGCTCAGAGATGCTCAGTTCTCTCATAACCTTGCCATGAAGTCACCTTGCTCCCTTGGTCTCTTGCCTCATTTCCTACTTCTGGAGAAAGGAAAAAATAAGTCAGATCTTACCCAACTGCATTACTTAATGTCATTCATGTCAGCCAAGAGCATGGAAGAAAGCAAAAATGAAACTAAACCTGTCAGCTTTACTGTAGGTATCCAGTTTCCTGTGCATAAGCAGGTGGCTTCAATTTCTGGCCTTTACTTCACATGTTCCAACATGAATTATTTCAAGTGGTTGTGATGCATAAATCCATGTGTGCTTGTAAGCATCAAATTAGACTTCCATAGTAATAAAAGCCACTACATCGTGGAATTCCTAATTTGCTTTCTCGGTGCTTTCTGATGTTTGTTTGCTTTGCAGCAGTAGTTTTTATGTTCTTCTTTAACTTGGGAATTGCTGGAAGAATGAAAAGATAAGGAATCTGTAAGCCTTTGAATGGGAGAATGATGCCTACAAGCCCTGAAAGTACATTGGTCAGTACTGAGTGTCAGAAATCTTTATTCACCAGTCATTTCAAAGATAATCAAAATGGGTCTCTTCTTCCAGTCTTTCAGATCTTTTGTAGTGATCTTGTTTCCTAATCTTCCTGTTGCAGAGCTATGTAGATGGTCATTGGTAGAATTTACCATTGTTTAGTGAGGAACTGCAGTAAGCTTGTTCAGAACAGAGCGTCTCGTTAAGGTAGAGAAACTCCTTTCTTAAATCTCAGGCTTGGAAAATGGTTTCTCTTCTGTTAATTAACAGAGTATTTGTTCTGCTCAAAGGTTTGAATCTATAAATAATAACTAGGAGTTCTTCCTTTTTATATCCTCTTTTTTCCCCTTTGAACTCAATTTCTGGAATTGGCAATTACAGTGAATGCTGAACAAGGGTGGCAAGTATTCCTTGTCTTGGAGACTGTAGATCATCACTGTGGTATTTCAGATGTTTCAATAACAGTGACTGATTTCCCTCATTCCCCACCAGCATCCATCTTTGAGATTCAGCAAGCACTTGTGAAAGCAGAGCTGGGAACTTGAAGGGCCAGACCATTCTGGGTTGCTGAATTAGGATGCGTGGATTGAGCTGTTGATTTGGACTGTCATTGTATCCACAGTCCATCACTGATCTGGAATTTGTAGTGTCTACAGTACAATATTGATGAATGTCATTGAGAAGTTTGTACAGAACTAAAATGGGAATGGAAAGTGATTTTTATGCTAAGTGCTATTTTTTTCCTATTAAGTGATCATTTATCATTTATTTATTTATCATTTATTTGGTTTATTTGGAAAAAATGCTTCTATTTCATCCTGTCTTGCCTTCTGTAGAGCCTGAGTGAGCACTGAGGATTAAGTGATACAAGGTGGATGGATGGTTGTTGGACAGGAAGTTGTTGAGATGCTTCTTGTGACTTAGACAACAGTTATAGTTGCCCATGCTGAAGAAACTACCTGCAGCTAGAAAGATTTTTATCAAAAGAATAAGGGGGGTAGGGGGAAGCTTTTAAGCACTGAAGTTTTAGATCCTGTAATGGGAAGGGCATGGTTACACCATATGGATTTGATCACAGTGTTTGCTTCCCAACGAACCTCGGCAGCCTGAAGTGCCTTAAAGCAGCGAGAGTCACGATAGTGAAGAAGCTTATCTGCTTTAGTAACTACAAATAATAGTTTACAAATATTGCTGCCTGCAAAGTAGTTGATGAGAAATTTTAGGAGAACTGAGTTCAGATGCAATAGCTAATTAAACTTCATGCTACTCTGCTCCTTTGTCTTATGCCAAAGCAACACTTATAGTGGAAGCTTCTTTATCAGGTCACTGAATTATGAGTTGAGAAGGAGCAGCAGTGAAAGCTTTGGATGCTAGCAGTTCGTTAAATGACACACGTGCCTCCAATTAAAGCATATGCAGACTGTTTTGTTTCTAAGCTAAACCTATTAGTTGTTAATCACAAAGCAGATATTTCTTCAAAATAAGTTATTTCTGCCTTTTCATAGAAAATGCCATTCGTTCTTGCTCTTAAACTGCTTGTTATTTAAGCAGGAGGTCTGGTAATCATTATTTGTAATGAATATGTTCTTATCTTTGTGTGTAGAAGTCAAGCTGCTGCCTTACCGGCAGGCCTACCAAGCCACCACTGCAGTAAGTGAGAGGTATTTGTGACCAAGCTGTACCTGTCAAGAAGTGACTGCCTGTAGATCATGTGTAATCTGGGGGAACGCTTTTGGTTTGTGATGAAATCAGCACGTTGCTCAGGGAGCTGTGAAATGAAGAGGCTTGCTAGGTGTCGTCTTTTTTCCGTTGGCTTACAATCATGACTGTCAGACTTGTTGTGAGCCAAACCTAGGAAAGGAAGTTCATTGTCATTTTCTAAACTCTGATTGTTACCCCCACTTCCTCTGGCAGCATTACTGATGGAGTGCTGACCAATTATTTCCTTTTCCAGCGAAGACCACAAATTCCCTCCTGTCCTCCACAGCACACTGGGTTCTACTTCCCCCTCGCACTTGCAAGCAATAATAATGAATGGCCTTTGATCTTTGCACAGCAAGCGTGCTCTCACATTTTTCCCACCCCATGGGTTTTTCCACATTATTGCTATTTCCAGTTGAGGAAAAAGATAAAATCACAAAATATCCCAAGCTGGAAGGGTCTCACAATGGTCACTGAGTCCAACTCCTGGCTTTGCACAGGACCACCCATAATACAAACCCTGCGTCGTCCAAACACGCGTTGAACTGTGGCAGCTTGGGGCTGTGACCGCAGCCTCGGGGAGCCTGTTCCAGTGCCTGATCACCCTCTGATGAAGAACCTTTTGCTAATACCCAACCTGACCCTCCCTGGATGCATCTCCATGCACGCAGACAGAGCCTTGTGAAGTGTTAACAGGCTGTGAGTTTCCTTGTGCAAGTTGCATGCACCAGTGCTCCACCATTGGACTCCAGAGTTCCACCAGTTAGCAATGACTGGTTGTAATGACTTCAGTTACAATAACCAATTCCAAATCCAGCACTGTTTTCATAGTTCTTAGTAAATTCTGTGTCAGGAGTTCTTTACCCATGTTGCTGTATAAATACATAAATTGAAGGATGACCAACTTATGAAGTGATTGTACAAAAAAAAAACTCAGAGAAATAGCTCTTCAGAAAGTTCTGTGAAATAAGTTAATCCAGAAAAGATTGCTTTCTGTCTCAGGAATGGTCTCCTTGGCTGCTCATAAAGTGAGAAAGGAGGGAGAAATGCCTAAGAATCTTTAAAGGACTGTTTTGGAAAAGTATGTGAAATATTCTTTTGTGTTTCAGCTGTGTGAAGTCCTTATAGAAACAAGGCCATAAGTTCTTGTGTTCTCTACATCCTCCACAAGCTTATTTCCAGGGTATCTATCATGTCATTTGGGCAATTAAAAGCTACTGAGTTAGAACAGCTCTGCAATCTCAATAGTACTACCTCAGATGAAACTTTATGCTGTCAGTTTTTCTAACTGATATTGCATCCTTTCTGGTAATTGTCACATAAATGCCTTTGTTTTCCAGTACTTTATTCATTGTGTCATTACCTGGCTGCTAATGTCTTGGTAGTGTAAAAATATTTTAAATTAAGGGCAAAAGAAACTCAAAATCTTTTTTGTCTTTCTGTCATTGTAGAGATGCGGGTCACAAATGTCCAGTAGACAACGAAATTCTACTTGAAAATCAACTTTTTCCAGACAACTTTGCAAAACGGGAAATCCTTTCATTAACGGTTAAGTGTCCCAACAAGGGCTGCTGCATGAAGATGGAGCTGAGACATTTAGAGGTGAGAATGAGATCTGACAATACAGAACCTTGTTTTTTGTGGATGAGGAAAAATTCAGACTTAAGGGGTCATACCTGTTCATACAGATTCCATTCATTCAAGCCTACAACTGTTTTTTTTTGGTTTTGTTCTGAGGAGCACATAGTTGTAATTAGGTGGTTCTCAAACAAAAAAAAAAAAAACAAACCCTGGAGTATGTGACACTGTAGTAATGCAGCTCACTTCTTGAGGTCATTCCTGTTTGTCTTTCCATCAGCTTCACCCATACTTCATACAGGTTCCTTGAAGTCAGTGTAACATTTCCTTCAAAGCAGTAGATATTAGTTGAAATAATTGTTTTGGAAAATAACACCCAAGTTGTAAGGGGAAAAAAAAAACCAAGCTGAATTTTAGCAGTGAGCATTCTTGAAGCTTTGAATGTGTGAAGTCCTGATCTTGGCCATAGAACATCGACATGCCATTAGTGAAGTGAGTGTAAGTGTAAATAAGGGTTTTCTTGGAAGGAAAGAAGGAAGGGTTATTGCTTGTTCCTCCTGTGCTGTGCCTTATCTGAAAAGCAAGCAATAAATTAGCACTTGTTTTCAGTATCAAATCTCTTTTGTCTTTGTTCAGGAGCACCAGTTGCATTGTGATTTCACGGCTGTGGAATGTCCACAGTGCCAAGGAGCCTTTCAGAAGAACCACCTGAAAGAGCACATGACACAGGAGTGTCCCCGGCGACAAGTGTGCTGTCCAAACTGTGCCACATCTATGGCTTATGAAGATAAGGAGGTACTTGGCAGGAGTCTTTCAGCCTCCATTCATATGGGTTTGCTCATGAATGTGACATCGTGGTCTTGTAGAAAGAAAGAAAGCTTTCAATGGAAGAGCTGTTTGAACTGCACAGGGTAGAAGCTCTGAACACCAGGGCACTTATCTGGGAACCCTGTGGTGTGAAAAGATGCGTCTCACAGTGGTTGCTTTTTGGCCTTGGCATGAGAGGGGGCAGTACCTACTGGCAAAGTAATATACAAAGCAATATCCTACACTTACAGTTTGTATGCCTGGCAGAAAGGATCAAGAAGTGCATCTTCTGGGGATACCTACAT